GACTGACTAAATACTTATTTTCCCCACTGTATAATGTTGAACTCTCAAAAGACCTGAACGGTTACTTTAAAGCACCGCAGTCACTCACGTTCCGCCGGTGACCTGAATGCTRCCGACACGGTCCTGGAAGCCGTAAGACCACAAGCTCGGAATATCCTCATCGCACACTTCCATCTTACGACCCTCAAAGTTTGTACATTCAAACAGACAAATCTTGTGGTCTTGGGGGTCCTGAAATAAAAAGGAACAGGGTTTTCCTCAGATTTTCCTGCATTTCCTCAGGATGTTGTTGGAGAAGATTTGAAAACTGAAATTCCGTGTATTTGACAGCCTACGTACCATTCGAACAGGTCGGACCGACATCATGCGATCACACCTGTAGCTGTTGGACCAGGTATCCCAGCGGGGGTACTCTCCCTTCTCCAGCATGAACATCTCACCCATCATGTCTTGCTGCTCGTAGCCCACCCATCTGAGCAGTTGGCAGAGGAGACATGTTGTTTAGCTCGGGTAAATACAGACTGTGCTACGTGTGTGTGGGCAGATTTGGTCACTTACGGTCCACATTCTACCCTGATGGAGCCGATCCTGTCAAAACCCTTCTCACACAGGTTACGGCACTCTCCGAACAGGTCCATCCTACGGCCTTGGAAGTTTTCATACTCGTAGAGGTATATCTGGAACAAGGGGAGAAACTCTAAGCTTTGCCTATGTATGTTGTTGTTGTTTGTTTGTCAGGAGAAGTACCTTGTTGTTGCGTAGTCCAATGGCAGAGTGGCTGCCAATGCTGCCCTGAGCACCTGAGTGAGACATGATCAGATCTAAACAGGAGAATCACAGAGTTAGTAATCTAAACTTAGACATCAGGTGGAGTGTAATTACAGCTGAATATCATTTTACTTCAGTCCAACAGGTCTGAGCACAATTTCCCATCAATTCAAGAGTTGAAGGACATGAATTTATGCAAAATTTAAAACTSTGTCAGTATCAGAGCAACCTAGGACAACCGAGTCAAAAGTTTGGGGATCTCAGGATTCCATCTTTATCATTTGCCGATGATGTGATCCTGTTGGCATCAAGTGGAGGAGTTCAAGTATCTCTGGGCTTTGTTCATGAGTGGGAGACAAATGAATGCAGACAAATGATTGCAGCTTCTACAGTACTGAGGACTTTGTATCAGTATCAGCTGCAAGGTGGAGCTCTCTATTTCCTGGTTGGTCTACTTTCACTCACCTCTGGTCACAAACACTGGGTAGTAACTGAAAAACTTAGATTGCTGACGTAGGCAGTCAAAATAATTTTTTTTCCTTGTAGTAGCTGGGCTCAGTAGGACTTTAGGGTGAGAAGTTCAGTTCTTCAGGAGAGACTCAGAGTAGAGCTGCTGCTCTTTCACATCCAGAGGAGCCAGTTGAGGTGGTTTGGACATCTGAAAAAGAACCCTTCTGAATGCTTCCCAGTGTTCCGGACTTTTCTAATTGGGAGGAGATCCTTAGCAAGACCCAGGACACACTGGAGAGACCATGTCTCTTGTCTGGCCTGGGAGTTAATCCTCTTGGTAGAACTGGGAGAGGTGGCTGGTCCTCCCTGCTCAAGCTGTTGCCTCCAAGACCTGACTCCAGCTGAAGATGATGGATGAATAGATGGATGGATGGAAGGATGAACGGTTGTGTTTCTAAACAAATAACTGCACAAGGTCACCAATGTTGTACTTCTTGTGCAAACATTTAGATATCTAACAAATTAGTCCAGATTAAAATTTACCATTTGTCATTTTTAGACTGTGATACTTTTTAAAATCTTGCCCTCAGCTCTTTTTTTATTGATGCAAAGATTATAGATGTTACAATTTTTTTTGCATTGATCCTTGAATTTTGTTGAATTATGTTAACTTTTTTTGGTCATGTCACCAGACCTGATAATAGTCCTTGTATTCAGGTTCTCCCGTAAGACTACTTATATTTTGTTAGTAATCAGGACACCTGTTGTCAATCATCAGTTATCCTGATACTGCCTGTTTTTTGTGATTCTTTGTCAGCTCATCTGTTAGGCTCCATCCACCTTAGTTTGACAGTTTGTAGCCTAAGTTTTCTAAAAACTAAGTGCTGCTTAGCTCATGAAAACTTCCTCCTTTGTGCATCTAGGTCTTGCTATAAATTACTGTTTACCTTACCGTTTACCAAAGTGATTTTTATGGAGGAAAACAACCASTCCAGTTTAACTCATCTCTTTCATCTGCTTCTGCTTTAAAGCGATACCCTTTCTCTAGATTTTCTACTACATTTCTTGAAGCTTGGTTCCTTGCCTTCAGAGCATTAGGAGTTCCGAACACCAGTCTGTATTAAAACAAACCTGTTTTAAAGTAAGATGATTTGGCAAAGTACCACATTATCTTCATTAAATTAATCTCATCGTGCCACAGTAGACCAAGTTCCCAGTCATGTAATAAAAAATAATCCTCTCATTTAATCCAAAGTTAGAAGTTTTTGGGGAAAAAAAGCCACTTCTTGCTTGTTTCTTTAAGTCCGGCAGGTGAATAAACCCCAATATTTTCCTTAGTGTTGAAGAGTTTTAGCAGAGAGAGTTAGAAGACCTGAGCGAGGACACTTACAGAAAGCGAAGCCTGAGACGGACCGACCTTTTGAGAAGACTGATGGACGCAGTCCTGCTGAGCGAGGACATATATATACATTCACCTCCTGAGTTTTCAGGAGTAGGATCCTGGCTTTTCATTGGCTGCGAGATGTTGGGAGCATGATGTCAGGTCAAAGGTCACATTACTAATCCAGGCGTGATTAACGCTGACTCGGCTGTCTGCCCTTTTTGTTCAGCACCATTGTGTGACGGGGGCAGTCACTGCCATCAGCAGAAAGTTTTATGTTCACGTACACACACACACACACACACACACACACACACACACACACACACACAC